AATCATCCCCCGGGGGGATGGCCACGCCACAATCCCTTCTCCTCCGTTCTCCTCTCGGGATCTTGGGCACGCACGCACACGCGCCCAGCATGAGTTTAAGCCACCGGGTCCGGGACTCGAACCACGGTCGACTACATGGGAATCCAGCAACATAGCCATTACGCTAACTGCTGGTCCCCAGCAGGGTTGTTTTGTAAACCAGTTTATTCACCTGCTTTCATTTGACATTATGTGGTTGTTTTTGCAATTTCATTATTTCTTAATTCTTAAAAAATTAAATACTATATATAAAGCATATCTAAAGAATTACCTCATCAAAATCCTTTAATTACTTCAGCATTCCATTCCCATTACGTATATTTTATTTAATAAGCCTATTGGTATTCAAAAGAGAAAGACAGAGAGAATGTATGTATGTATATGTGCTACATGTTCTATAATGTATGTATGCATGCTATATATACATAAAATATGTATATGCACATATACAAATACATGTGCCTTGAAAAGTCCTAATCCTATTTCCTGGGTGTTTCATTTTGAAAAAATATTTTGTCTTCAACATGATTGCAGCTAAAGATAGACCAGAATTCTAGAGTTACAGAAACATCTGATCCTTACCAGGGTCTGGGGACCATAGCAGAACAGGGCACACAAGTTCTCTTTATGCCATTTTGTTCTTCCAGCTCCTGGGCTCAGCAGGCTCTCCGGCGCCGAACTCCAAAAGCCAGTTTGTTTTTCTGCTGAGCTGTTTACCTTTATTGGTGTTTAATTACTGTTTTCCTCTGATGCCTGTTTTTCATCTAAATTAGTAATACCGTTTGGCATTTATATAGAGTTTTATATGTTCAATGCTTTACATAATCATTCATTAGATAATTCACATATCCCTTTTGACATACATGAGGATCATTTTCTACCTTTACAAATGTGAAAGAAGATTCAGTGGGGTAGTGTGTGCTCGGCTTTACATCGAGCAGTTGTTAGGGGGACAATGGGAAGCAGAAGTCAGAAAGAATTGCATCCTTCCTATTCATTGGACAAACTGTGATGCTTCCCGGGGAAATTCTTTTTTTTTTTTTTTTTTGGAGCGGTTTTCGCTATAGGGCGCGTGCACTTGCCAGCCAGACAGAGAGACAGAAAGCAAGACATCACCCCCCAGGGGGGTTGGCCACGCCACAATCCCTTCTCCTCCATTTTCCTCTCGGGATCTTGGGCACGCACACGCACACACCTAGCATTGAGTTTTAAGCCACCAGGTCCGGGACGCGAACTGCAGTCGACTACATGGGAGTCCAGTGACATAGCCATTATGCTAACTGCTGGTCCCCTGGGGAAATTCTTAATTACTAGAAAGGAGGAGAATGTCAGCTTGTCTTTCTTAGATCCTTGAGATTACTAGTTCTTCCAGAATGCCTACTATTCCTTGAATTAAAAAAACAAACAAACAAAACAAAACAAAACAAAACAAATTTTAGCCTAGTATTTTGAATACTGGTGTCTTTCTATTTTTTTTTTTTTATTATCATTATAACTTAAAAATGTTTTACCTTGGGGTCAGTAGGTGGCATGGTGGTAAAAGCATTGTGGATTCTCATATGGTCAACCACAGTTTGAGCCCCGGACCTGACATCTTGAAATTGATGCAAGGTACATGTGCGTGCATGGCTAAAATCCTGAGAATGAAAGAGAAGGTATTGCAACATGGTCGTTTCCCTGAGGGGTGATTTCTCACTCACTTTCCCTCTTTCTATCTTTCTCTGGTGAACACATTCTCCCTATGACAAAAAAAAAAAAAAAAAATTATTCAGCAAAACTGCTTTTGTTCATTTTGCCCTCACAAATGTGTCTCTACCCTTGAGGAATTATGCTATTTCAATGCATTAATGCTTTTCTTAATTCTTGTTAAATGTTTGTTAAGTAGATTCCTTCCAGTGGCATTAGAATATTTCATTTCATGGGACCAGCAGTTAGCATAATGGCTATGTCGCTGGACTCCCACGTAGTCAACCGTGGTTCGGGTCCCAGACCCGGTGGCTTAAACTCATGCCGGGCGCGTGTGCATGCGTGCCCAAGATCCCGAGAGGAGAATGGAGGAGAAGGGATTGCGGTGTGGCCATCCCCTCTGGGGGGTGATTTCTCGCTTTCTGTCTCTCTGTCTCTCTCTGTCTGGCGAGCTCACGCGCCTTATAGCAAAAACCTCTCAAAAACAAAAGAAAGAATATTTCATTTCATTGTTCTAATTAATTTCTCTATGGTGGATAATAAAATTATAGATATTATAAGGCAGGCTCCAAATACTTCTCTTTTTAAATATTAATATATCCTGGGACCAGCAGTTAACGTAATGGCTATGTTGCTGGACTCCCACGTAGTCGACCGCGGTTTGCATCCCAGACCTGGTGGCTTGAAATTCACACCAGGCGCATGTGCGTGCGTGCCCAACATCCCGAGAGGAGAATGGAGGAGGAGAGATTGCGGTATGGCCATCCCCCCGGGGGGTGATTTCTCACTTTCTGTCTCTCTGTCTGGCAAGCACACGCGCCCTATGGCAAAAACCTCTCTCTCTCTCTCTTAGATAGATAGATAGATAGATAGATAGATAGATAGATATAGATATAGATATAGATATAGATATAGATATAGATATATATTATCCCCTTACAATTAGGCTCATAAGCTATTTTCTCACCCTCTCCTCTTAGAAAATAGGTCATATCAGGCCAGCCCCATGACTGGATAATTAATGTACACTGGGTGTTGGATCCCACGTGGCTAACCATAGTTAAAATCCTGTCCCCCGTGACTTGAAAAACAGGCCAGGCACATGTGCGCACATGCCCAAAATCTTGATGGGATCGAGAAATGAAGGAAAAAGGATCATAGCATGGTCTTGCCCACTTGGGGGTGCTTTCTCTCCCTCTTTCTCTCATACATGCACATACCCCCTAGCAATTAAAGAAAATAGGTTATATCTAAGGGAAATTTATAACCTGCACACAAAGAAACTGAAGGTAGAACTAAGAATTTAAAGATAAAATTTCTTTTCCCAAAATTTTTACAACTAAATGTCTGATCACTTAACTAACTCAGTTATAAATTGTTAGTTTGGTATGTGATAAATTATGAATACTGCTTTTAGTTTGAGAGGTGTTTTAATTTGATTTCTAATATTCTGTATTTTAATATTCTTCCCATATTATTTTCTTTTAAATTTTTATGTATTAACTTCTTTCATGAGAGAGACACAGAGAGAGGCAGACAGGCACTCCCTTCAGTGTCCCCACACCATGATGCACCCCCAGCCTCAGTATGGCACAATCATGGACACAGGTGTGTTCCTGGCATGCCCATGAGGCCCCAGGATGTCAGCCTGGAACCTTCTCCTGTGGGTCCAGTTGCATTACCACTGTGTCTTTGTCTGGCTCCTAAAATGTCTTTTTATATAAGCTCCACTTTATCATTTTATATTTCAGGAATATGTAGTCTTCTTTAGGCCCTGACTTTGTTCCCTGTTCACCCTGAAAACCAGGTGCGACGGGGGCATACTTGTAGTCCTCATTACTCAGGAAGCAGAGGCAGAAGGATCACACATCATGAAACCCTGTTTAAAAAGGGCAGAAGGCGGGACCAGCAGTTAGCGTAATGGCTATGTCTCTGGACTCCCACGTAGTCAACCATGGTTCGAGTCCTGGACCCAGTGGCTTAAACTCACGCCGGGTGCGTGTGCGTGCGTGCCCAAGATCCCAGGAGGAGAATGAAGGAGAAGGGATTGCGGCGTGGCCCTCTCCCCTGGGGGGTGATTTCTCGCTTTCTGTCTCTCTGTCTCTCTCTGTCTGTCTGGCGAGCACACGCGTCCTATAGCAAAAACCTCTCAAAAAAAAAAGGGGGGGGGGAAGGGGAGCTAGCTCTGTGGCCTGGTGGTTTAGGGAGCCAGATTCCCACATGGCCAGCCACACAGTTTAAGTCTCAACTGCAGCAAGTTCAAAATCAAGCTGGACACATGTGCATGCATGTCCAAAATATCATGACACAGTAGAGAAATGGAGAGGAAGGGATTGTGGTATGACCACACCCCATTGGGAGGGGAGGTGCTTTTTCTGTTTTACTCTCTGTCTTTCTGGTTAGAATATAAGCATATGTACACTCTGGCAAAATAAAAATGAATAAATACATTTTTTTAAGACCAATATCATATCCATACTAGGCAGGAAAGTATTCTCAGAAAACATCTCGGTTACATTGTCAAATGATTTTTTTTTTTAATTTTGCAAGAGAGGACACGTGCTTACCCAAGAGATGGAGAGAGGTAGAGGGAGAAAGCACCTGCCATTAGGCCATGGTCATGCCATAATTCCTTCTTCTGCATTTCTCCATCTTGGGATTTAGGGCATGTACACATGTGCACTCAGCATGTTTTTCAAGTCACCAGGGCTGGGACTCAAGACCGTGCAGTCAGCCATGTGGGATCTGGTTCCTTTAGTCACAGGCCATGGGCCATCCTGTCAAATGATCATTGAAAGGAAGAGTCTTCAAGGGGACCAGCAGTTGGCGTAATGGCTATGTAGCTGGGCTCCCATGTAGTCGACCTCAATTTGAGTCCTGGATCCGGTGGCTTAAACTCACGCTGGGCACGTGTGCGTGTGTGCCTAAGATCCCAAGAGGTGAATGGAAGAGAAGAGATTGTGGTGTGGCCATCTCCCCTGGCGGGGGGCGTGGGTATTTTCACTTTGTCTGTCTGTCTCTCTCTGCCTTTCTGGGCAGCGCACGTGCTCTATATAGCATAAACCTATCGAAGAAAAAAAAAGGAAGAGCCTTCTGATGAAATAACTAGGCCTATCGTTAAATCGAACCGTACTATGGCTTATCTGGATTCTTTAGGGACTATAAATTTAATATATCTTTAATTCAGATCATCAGATTTATGTTGACTGTTTTGATATTTACTATTTATTAGTTAAATCTATACTAATATGACTTTTTAAAACTTCTTTTTCCAGCAATTTAAATAAAGAAAAATCAGCTTTACTACAAATGAAGAATCAAATGGCATTAGATTTAGAACAACTTCTAAATCATCGTGAGGTACTTTTTCCCACTTTGTCCTAAGTTTTGTCATTTTAGGCTTTTCATAACTTATATTGAATTAAGGTTATTGAATCCCAATTGCCCGTGTTCATGAATGATTTCTCACATTTTCACCTCACTGTGATCTGGTCTTTTTCAGTCAACTTGTGATATACTTGATTCTTAGAGATCATTCTTATTCCTAGAACAGCCTTTCTTGTTAACTGGGATTTTGTTCATACCTCTGTCACTGAATTTCTACATTATGTAATAATTGTCTATTTTATCAAATCAGATTTTTTGAGGTATAACATATACTGCTGTGATTTTTGACAAATGCTCACAGTGCATAATCATCATGACCATCAGCACATGTAACAGTTCCATCCCCACAGAAAATCTTATCATGCTCTCTTTGTAGTTAGTTAGCCCTTCTCGCCAACCACCAGTCCTTAAAACTTCTTACCTGTTTTCTACACCTACTGTTTTATCTTTTACAGAATGTCATGTGAATGAAATTATCAGTAAATAGCCTTTTGACTATGGCTTTTTTTACTTATGATAATGTGTTTGGGATTCACTATACTGCTGTGAACTCTTCCTTTTTATTGCTGGGTAATAGTCCATTATATGGATGTACCACAGTTGATTAGGCCATTTGTCAATTGATCGATATTTGACTTGTTTCCATTTTAGAGCACTTATAAATAAAGCATCTATAGACAGTTGTATACAGGTTTTTATGAAAAAAGTAAGTTTCCAATTCTCTTGGGTAATATCCAGGGCACAATTGCTGGGCAGCATGGAAAGCATATGTGTAAGTTTATAAGAAACTTCCAGACTTTTCCAAAATGACTACTTTCTACATTCTCACCTACAGTAAGAGAGTGTTCCAGTAGCTCTGTATCCTCACCAGCAGTTGGTATTACTATGTCTACTTTTTAAATCCAAAACATTTTCTCCCACTGAACTATCACAGTTGCATCTTCATTGTCTTTTTATCATTTTGTTTTTCAAAAAAGAAAGAAAGGTTTAAAACACATCATTGGATTATGACTATCCTAAATATATCATTTCCTAGTCTTAGTGGGAGGATTTTCTGTCATAGAAACAGCAGCCTTTGGAGGAATTCTTTTAAAGGTGTCTTTTATATGATGGTGAATGGGATAAAAATGTGTCCCTGAATTAGGTTTTAGAGGTGTGATAGCCAGAGACAGATAGAATGACAAAGAGAGAAAGAGAATGAGAAATCACCCCTTAGAGAAGATGGCTTTGCCACAGTTCCTCCTCTCCATTCTCTTCTCAGGATTTTGGGCACACACACAAATGTGTCTAGTGTGGCTTTTAAGCTACCAGGTCCAGGGCCCAAAAAAACAAGTCACATCTGTCGGATCCAGTTGCCTTCACTTCCACACCAACTGCTAACCCTCACAAATGTTTTTGAAATTTAATTTTGTTGTTGTTGTTGTTTGCCAGAGGGCATGTGTACTCACTGGAGAGATACAGAGAATGGGACAGAGGGACAATGGGAAAGCACTCCCCATGGGGTAAGGTCATGTCACAATCCCTTCTCCATCTCTCCCTCCTTTCAGGATTTTGGGCATGTACACACATACACGTGCCTTGTGTATTTCTCAAGTCACCAGGGCTAGTCTTGAACCACACGGTCAGCCATGTGGGATCCAGCTGCCTTTAACCATCACCCCATGGGGTAACTTGAGATTGAATATTTGATAGTAACCACAGATAAACATTCAGTCATATCAACTACATTTTTTTACGTAAAGGTGCATAGCAAGTACTTTTCTTTTAGAATGGCAATTTGATTTTAAAAGATACTAGACACTGAAAAATATAGGAACAGTTTTAATTTGTATATTTTATACATCTTACTTGGAGTCACATTATTCATGAGTTCTTCAAATAAAAACTGAAAAGTTTTACTTAGTGGATTGCAAAGAAAATATGGGCGATGCATTCTGGGAAAGCAGCAGCACCAGATCCAAGATGGCAGCCAGCAAGAGGCTGATGAAAGAGCTTGAAGAAATCCGCAAATGTGGAATGAAAAACTTCCGTAACATCCAGGTTGATAAAGCTAATTTATTGAGTTGGCAAGGGCTTATTGTTTCTGACAACCCTCCATATAACAAGGAGCCTTCAGAATCGAAAGCAACTTTCCAGCAGAGTACCCATTCAAACCACCGAAGATCACATTTAAAACAGTGACCTATCACCTGAACATCGATGAAAAGGGGCAGGTCTATCTGCCAGTAATTAGTGCTGAAAACTGGAAGCCAGCTACCAAAACCGACCAAGTAATCCAGTCCCTCATAGCACTGGTGAACGACCCCCAGCCCGAGCACCCCCTCCGGGCTGACCTAGCTGAAGAATACTCTACGGACCGTAAAA